TCACACTTCATCTTCTCACATGAGACGTGAACTTTCAACCGATTGTGCAAATGTATGTCTAACTTTCACCAGCTGTACAGTAGCGCGTAAGTCCAACTTTCAACCGACTGTGTGGAAATATGTAAATTCAACTTTTAACTAGGTGTGTGGAAATACGTAAGTCCCACTTTCAATCGGCTGTGCGGAAAGGCGTAGGTCCAACTTTCACCAACTGTGTGGTAACACATAAGTTCAACTTTCAACCGGCTATGTGGAAACACTTGAGTCTCATTTTCAACTAGCTGTGTAGAAACACGTAAATCCAACTTTCAATCGGCTATGCAGAAGCGCATAAGTCTAATTTTCACCGACTGTCTGGTAGCGCGTAAGTCCAACTTTCAACTAGCTGTGTGGAAACACGTAAGTCCCATTTTCAATCGGCTATGTGGAAACACGTAAGTCCCACTTTCAATCGGTTGTGTGGAAGTACGTAAGTCCAACTTTCACCAGTTGTGCGATAGTGCATAAGTCCAACTTTCAACCAGCTATGTGGAAACACGTAATTCCCGCTGTCAATCGGTTGTACGGTAGCACGTAGTCCAACTTTTAGGTGGTTGTGCGGAAGCACGTAAGTCCAACTTTTAATCGACTATGTGGAAACACGTAAGTCTAACTATCGTTGGTTATACGAAAATGCATAAGTCCAACTTTCAACTGGTTGTGCGGTAGCACGTAAGTACAATATCATTGGTCGTGCGAAAGCGCGTAAGTCTAACTTTCAACCGGCTGTGTGGTAGCATGTAAGTCCAACTATCATTGGTTGTGAGGAAGTGCGTAAGTCCAATTTTTAACTGGCTGTGCGGTAGCACGTAAGTCCAATTATCATCGACTGTGCGGAAGCGTGTAAGTCCAACTATCATTTTGCTGTATGAAAGCATATAAGTCCAACTTTCACCAGTTGTGCAATAGCACATAAGCCTAGCTTTGAATCGGCTTTGAGGAAGCACGTAAGTCTAACCTTCAATTGTATTTCGAGTATATTATTTGCACGAGATTTATCTCGCATGTTGCCATCTTTACAGCTTTATCATCATTGCATTGTACTACATCAATCATGATTTTTCAAAACAAAAATCGGCTTCGCAAAGCGTGTAAGTCCAACTTTCAATTGCATTATGGGCACATCATTTGTATTTTGCCTCCAAACTATACTAGTTTGATTCCTGGCAAAGGGATACGTAGGCAACCCTCGGGTTCAACCAACTGTATTTGCATCTTATTTGTTTGCCCAAGTCTTGCGGCCTTATCAAAAGGGTCATCTTCTTGCTTTGACATTCACTCACGTCATGAATATGACTTCAAGGTTTGTCAAAGAGGGGCAATTGTAGACACCCCATTTGGACCGGCCCTAAGACTTGAGCGCTCTCTTACCTTAAAAGGAACATCCAATGCAACCATCCTTGTCACTTCATCATCCTAGCCTTCCACCTTGTCCACTCCTACCTGCTTGATTGAGCCTAGCAGGGTGTGTATCTACTCATCTGTCATTGTCAAGAGAGCTAGCCTCTTCAACAAAGTCCTTGGCCTTTGTCATTTTATGGCCTTTGTTTTCAATCTTGCCCCTCACCACCTTCTCCACTAACTATTCTTTTATTGCCTATATGAAGGTGATCAAATTGTTAGGAGAAGAGGATTGATTTCAGAAAAAGAAAGTTAGAGAGAAAAAGAAGATAGTAATTTAAACTTTGAAGCAAATACTCCCATTTTCAAATATACACTGCCATACATTGATATTCCATCATTGATACACCAAAACCATCCTAAAAACTCTAATATAGCCAAACCTTAGTAGCCTTGATCAAAAAAGAATGAGTGTTTTTAAAAGAAAGAAAAACGAAGAGTTCCGCCCATACACTCTATTAAACACCCAAAAATACCACAAGAATTTCGCATTTTCAAACTGAGAACTAAGAAATACACTTTCTAAATTTGAGGGTGATCAAAAGAAAGTTTGGAAATCAAATACTTTCCTTGGAAGGTGAATTTTGCACACTTTTCTTTTCTTTTCTTTTACTTTTTTTCTTATTTTGAGCTCTTTGTTTTCATTTCATTTCATATTGTAAGCTTGTTATACTCAAATTGGGAGTGGTTAGTCAAGCCACCTACATATTCTATGCTTGTTTCTGTCTTTGGTGCTTAAAAAGTAGAAAACAAAGTTTCGATCTGCCCTGACTGGCCGGCCGTCTAACTTTTTGGCCGGCCAGCTCATCTTTTGGCTACCCGGTCAACCTCTCATAGACAAAACCCCAGCAACCTCCTAGATTCGAGCAGAATAGTCTCCGACGATCTCCGAGACCTCCTTGAAGCTTCTGTTTTTCTTTTTTTCTTTTAATTTTAGAGAGATTTGTGAGGATATATCTTGTTGTAATATTTTCTTTTCCCATATTCAGATTTGTAATATTCAAATGCTGTAATAATTCTTTGCTCTACTTCTTTCTATCCCATTCTTTTACTCACTTTCCCTATATGTTCATATGTAGTATATTTTGTTCATCATCATATCCATGTTGTACAACCATGTTTCATGCATCTTAACTCAGCTAAATTTGCATTTATGAGTTTAATCGATTATTACGTGATTTTGTGTGCAACTTCATGTTCTTTATATGAATCACATGACATATTTTCGAAGCCGAATCACTAGTTGCATTTCATGAATGAATTGCATTAGAATCTTTTATATAAAATCATGCATGTTTTACTAACTTTGTTTTGTACCTATTTGCGGGACGACAATAAAGATGTAAGCTTTTATGCTTTAGTATTCTATTTGTGTGTGTTTTTGTTACTATGTTTTGCATCCTACTATGCAACTACGTATTTATTTGATATATCTCTATGAATTCCTGTGGATGGAGGTTGTGTTACTCAATTTGGAACAAAAATGATTTTCTGGTTGTAAACTCAAGATTCTGTCAAGTTGTTTAAAATGCTTTCAAAAATACATGAAATCGAATTGTTTTAAAATAAATGGCACAATCTATATTTGTTTGCTTCACATAGTAATTTTAGCATTTATTAAATAACCAGAATATGAGCATATCAGGCAAATAAAATTCATATCATGGTTTACTAGAAGCCGATCTTTGATCGGGTGAGCAGAGGTGCTCAATTAATGACATTCTCCTCTCATACCTAAAGTTCTGAGCTAAGCAATTTTGGTTATGACGAACAGTAGGCTTAACACGAGTCACGAGTTTCTTAATTTTTCAAAAATATTAAGTAACGACTCTAAGACCTAGTGATGTAGTCCATTTCTAGCAAAGTTTTTTTTGCAATAAAATAAATTCCTATAAAAGTTGTCAAATCTGGACTCTCATCTATGTTTCACATTGTACTCGTAACACTAGATCGAAGATACCGAGGGTCCAAACTATTAACCCACGTGGGTACCCCAGACCTGTTACAGCGGAAAAATAGTAAATTTATATTATTTTATTCATTGATTTTGGAAAAGTGACTAATATTTGGAATAATAAAAATAAAATAGTGAACTAATATTTTAAGACGAATAGAGTAAATGGATTGGTCATTGGTCATAATAGCAATACAGTGTTAAAACTGTTTTTTTTATTGCATCCAATGCATAATTTATGAATCAGTAGAGGTATTCAGAATTTACTCAGCAATGATGTGTTCAATGTAACATACTTGACTTGAACTAAACAGACCTTCTACATATGAAGAAAAGAGATAATCAATTTTGTTACCAATGCATAAAGTTAAGTGAGGCGCACAACACTATTTTTAATAATAAAAAGAAGAGTAATAGAATGAGTTTGCTACAAATTTTGTGGCCTCTATTTAGCTATCTCAATAATGATAGAGTGTTTTAATTTTAAAATTTTAAATAAAATTCTAGTGATGTGGTAAGAGAGGAAAAAAATAAAATAAAATAAAAATATAGACACACACATCACATCATATGTGGCCTCCACTCCTTGTCACATTACTAGAGCTCTAAAATTAGAGTTCTCAATATTTATTCTTAATTGTCTCCAAATTTATTGAGACTTAAAAAAATAGAGATCGATTTTCTGTAATTCAAACTCCAAATTAAAAAAAAAAAAATTAGTTTTGAGATTTTTATTTATTTATTTATTTATTTATTTTTACAAATTAAATGTTTAGTTCGGTCATCATACAAATATTGAATCGGTCAATGAGTTTGTGAATGGCGAACAAATTTAAGCATTTAATTTGAAAAACTACTAATGTGATACCATTTAATATTCAAGATTAAACATCTCAAATTCAGAAGGAGAAATTACAATGTTTTTAAAAAGCTAAATTACACTGCTTGAGTGAAAAGGTTTAGTGCCTTCAGCTTCATCAAATCAGTATGATATATAACTCTTGATTTTGTACTATCACATTAAAATGGACTTTGTCGGCCTACGTTTGGGAAGTGGGTTGGCTTTTTGGCTTTTTGACTTTTTTGGCTATTTTAGCCTGGGCTAAAAAGCTTGGTTTGGGAAAGACTTTTTGGCTTTTTGGCTTTTTTGACTTATTTTGTGAGAAAAAGTGTAATGATTATGGGTTGGATGTGATGTTTTGTTTTTTGTGGCTAAAATAGCCTATTTTGTCTTTTGTGGCTAAAATAGCCAAAAAAAAGCCCAAAATTTTCTTCCCAAACGTAGGCTCAATAAATCATAAGAGTTATCAAATAATGTTCTCTAATTTTTTTCTAACAATAAGGAGAAAAATTAAAATAGGAATCTATCTAATAATATTCCCCATTTTTCTATAATTTATAAGATTAAGAGTGAATATTTATTTCATACATATTGAAAACTAAAATCAATCTTGTTTAGGTGAATTTTAAAATTTTTAAGTTTTTACGTCAAATAGGATGTCACTTAGCGTCCAATTGCACGTGTGGCTAAAATGGAATGTCACAGTGGCACCCAACCCATGCTACATTATAAGCATCTTCTAAGGTAACATCAAAATCAAAAACATTGGAAATAAATTATATAATTCCATTTTAGTCTAATAACAAAAAAAACATACTATTACACTCATTTATTTGTTACTGTAAATTAAAAACGAAATATCTAAACAAATAAAAACACTAATATAGAAAAACTATTTTCTTTTTTCTCTGTTTTTTTCTTCCGCTGATACAAAATTTGCCGAAAATTCGACAGGCCAACGGTGGTAACAGTCCTGCAGATTCAGAGAGACATGAGAGGGTCTGAGGTAAAGAAATCGCCGAGGTCTTGAAAGTAATCGTCGACTTGCCACGTCGGGGAAGAGGATCCAAAGCCAAAATCATTAACTGGGTCGATAAACATGTCGCCGAAATCATTGTCACTCAACAAATTACTTGGAAGTGTTGGTGTGTCGTGGAAAAGAATTGGGTCTGGGTGTTCCAAATTGAAAAAATCATCAATAAATGGTATCTCCATTGACAAGTAATCAACAACACTTTGATTCCCTAAACTTGTTTCCCCTTCACACTCTTGAAAACACGGTTGGGTTTCTTGAACTTGGTTATTAGAGTTGGTTCTGAAACGCAGCACTGAAGTCGGAGAAGACAAGTTGAGAGAATCATCGCCGGACTCGAAGCCGGAAACTGACGTCATATTGATTTCGGGGGGGTTCTCTTTGGTCGGAGGAGTGATGAAGTTTGTCAAAGCATCCGGTCCACGCAGCTTAATGGCGGCGTTGTCGTACACCATGGCCGCCTCTTCCGCAGTATTGAAAGTGCCCAACCACAGCCTGACACGTCTCGCCGGGTCTCTGATCTCTGCCGCCCATTTGCCCCACGGCCTTTGCCTCACTCCGCGGAACTTCCTACCCACTGTCGCAACCTTCATTGGCTTCCGGTTCGCCTCAATGGTCCCTCCGGTTCCCGACTTCTTCTTCTTCTTCTTCTTCTTTTTCTTCTTGTGAGGAATCAACACAGTGGTTTTACAAGCAGTCTCGATGTTGATCTCATTCACATACTTCTTTATGCGTTGTCGGCTGAAGAGCTCGTCTTCTTCGTCGCTTGAGGAGTCGGTCGCATCTGGGTCGGTAACCGATATCCGTACAAGTCTAGGCACACCGGTCCGACCATCAGACACCTTGGGCTTGGTGAGTTTCTTGGTGAGACTTCGGTGCTCCGTGTATTTGATCGGCCGTAGCATGCTACTCATACTGTCATCCATGTCCACTCTTAACTTAAGTTGTTTGTTTGGTTGCTCAGATTCTCACTATTCGCATTGAAAAAGCCATATAGAGAGAGAGAGAGAGAGAGCGTGAAGTTAAAGGAAGATTGCTTTGAGACAGTCGAGACACGGGGGAGGGAGAATAAAGAAGGGAGGAGGAAGAAAGTGATATGAACCGTCAAAGAGAAGCTTCAAACGCAGAGAAACCCAACAGGCCGATTCAGAAAAAAGACTGACATCAAAAACGAGTCTTAAAAGGTGCGATTCAAAGAGATAAAAGTTGACACAAACGTTATCAAATATGTTGAAGGGGAGTTAAAATAGCAATAATATGTTGAGACCTTTTAATAAAGTGAAACCTCTCACTCTCGCTCACTCTCAGCCTCAGTCTCAGGCTAGAAAAGAAGAGGCCTCCGTGGAAAGATTTAGATTTAGGCCTAAAGAATTCTCTGAAACCACCGGACTTGAAAAAAGGACCCAGATCAACCTAACAAAGGAAAGCAAATAACTTTTCTGGGATTTTCCGGGAATGTTCACTTGGATTTTCTGGGAAAATTTGAAGGAGAAAAGTGTGGAGAGAGAGAGGGCAGAGTGACTCAGTAGTCGCGATAGAGAACAGAACACTGAAATCGCTGTTTTATAGGATCCAGCAGCCGAATTCGTAGATCATTTATTATTTCCATTTTTTATTTTATTTTTTATATAAATATTTTCTTGATTTTAAAAATATATAGTATAATTATTTTTTACATAGACTACAAATAAACCCCTTAAGTTTGTTGGGAAGTGGGTTGGCTTTTTGGCTTTTTTGGCTATTTTAGCCTGGGCTTAAAAGCTTGGTTTGGGAAGGACTTTTTGGCTTTTTTGAGTTTTTTTGTGAGAGAAGAATGTAATGATTATGGGTTGGATGTGATGTTTTGTTTGTTATGGCTAAAATAGCCTATTTTGTCTTTTGTGACTAAAATAGCCAAAAAAGCCCAAGAACCAACTTGTCAAACAGAGGCTAAGTCTCGTATGGTTTGAAAAATTACACATATTCTATTATTAGAATTTTTTATTTAACAAAATTAAATAAAAAAATAAAATTTATAATTACTCTTCTATACAATAATAAAATTACCTAAATTATTAATTCAAACATATTTCTAACATTATTAAAAACGGTGGTGCTATATGCACCAATTAGCGTAAATACTAATATACTAACTACTGTTATGATATAATTAATGACTTTATTTATTATACAAATTACAAATATCTAAAATTTTTAAAATTATACCACATCATCTATTAATACACTAGTGTGTACACTAATTAATGCATATAGTATTATTCTATTAAAAATAGTTAATTGACTTAATGATTTATTAATAAAAAGAACGATATGCTATAAAATTAAAAACATCCGAAAATGAATTATAATTTTCAAGACTACAGTGGTCGATTCATATTTTAATCAAATTTTAGAAGGTATATTTATAATTTATCCTTATTTTTTTAGCCAATGATGGGCCTAAGGGCTAGTGAGTTAAGGAGTGTTTTGTGAAGATGGTTAAAAGTTGATTTTTAACTCTGAACTAAGTTTTTTGATTTTTTCAAAAAGTGATTTAAAAAATTAATAAAAAGATGCTTTTAACTTTTTTAATTAATCTTATCAAAACTTGTAAGTGTATTAATAAATTTGTTAATAAAATTATAAATATCCCTAACGTTATTACTTTTTTATCTCCGAGCTATAAACGCAACTTTTACCTATATTGTCAAAAGAGCACATATCTTTTGAGAAGAAAATAAAAAGTTAATTTTTAATTTTTTACTTATTTGGAATCATATTTTACTTATAAAAAGATAAAATTAATTTTTTACCAATTTTACAAAACAGGACTATACTCCACCGGTGGGTTTGGATGTAACGAATGGCCACATCCCGATGACCGGGTCAGATGTGGACACGTGGCTGAAGCGGGGGTTAAAAGAAAGAAGTTGGTCGAATGAGTAAAGATCAGATGGTGCTGAGTCAGCACATCATTCATCAGGTGTGTGGTCCGGTCACGTGAGGCCCAAGATGCCCGGTCCGGTTTAAATGTGTCGGTCAAATTTGAAAGCCTTTAACACCTCCTTAATACTTTGACCAAATTTAAAAATACAAAACTAGGCTTGGTTTGGGAAGTGGGTTGGCTTTTTGGCTTTTTGGCTTTTTTGAGTTTTTTTGTGAGAGAAGAATGTAATGATTATGGGTTGGATGTGATGTTTTGTTTGTTATGGCTAAAATAGCCTATTTTGTCTTTTGTGACTAAAATAGCCAAAAAAGCCCAAGAACCAACTTGTCAAACAGAGGCTAAGTCTCGTATGGTTTGAAAAATTACACATATTCTATTATTAGAATTTTTTATTTAACAAAATTAACTAAAAAAATAAAATTTATAATTACTTTTCTATACAATAATAAAATTACTTAAATTATTAATTCAAACATATTTCTAACATTATTAAAAACGGTGGTGCTACATGCACCAATTAGCGTAAATACTAGTATACTAACTACTGTTATGATATAATTAATGACTTTATTTATTATACAAATTACAAATATCTAAAATTTTTAAAATTATACCACATCATCTATTAATACACTAGTGTGTACACTAATTAATACATATAGTATTATTCTATTAAAAATAATTAATTGACTTAATGATTTATTAATAAAAAGAACGATCTGCTATAAAATTAAAAACATCCGAAAATGAATTATAATTTTCAAGATTACAGTGGACGATTCATATTTTAATCAAATTTTAGAAGGTATATTTATAATTTATCCTTATTTTTTTAGCCAATGATGGGCCTAAGGGATTAGTGAGTTAAGGAGTGTTTTGTGAAGATGATTAAAAGTTAATTTTTAACTCTGAACTAAGTTTTTTGATTTTTTCAAAAAGTGATTTAAAAAATTAATAAAAAGATGATTTTAACTTTTTTAATTAATCTTATCAAAACTTGTAAGTGTATTAATAAATTTGTTAATAAAATTATAAATATCCCTAATATTATTACTTTTTTATCTCCAAGCTATAAACGCACCTTTTACCTATATTGCCAAAAGAGCACATATCTTTTGAGAAGAAAATAAAAAGTTAATTTTTAATTTTTTACTTATTTGGAATCATATTTTACTTATAAAAAGATAAAATTAATTTTTTACCAATTTTACAAAACAGGACTATACTCCACCGGTGGGTTTGGATGTAACGAATGGCCACATCCCGATGACCGGGTCAGATGTGGACACGTGGCTGAAGCGGGGGTTAAAAGAAAGAAGTTGGTCGAATGAGTAAAGATCAGATGGTGCTGAGTCAGCACATCATTCATCAGGTGTGTGGTCCGGTCACGTGAGGCCCAAGATGCCCGGTCCGGTTTAAATGTGTCGGTCAAATTTGAAAGCCTTTAACACCTCCTTAATACTTTGACCAAATTTAAAAATACAAAACTGATTCAATTAATTTTGGACACTAATTTTCTTAACCGAACTTATAATTAGCTGTTAACCATGGGTCATAAGTGATGGTATTTCTGTCATTATAGTAGTGTTATTTATTTATTTGGCTCCGTTTGGTAAATATTTTTTTTTTAATATGTTAGTCACAAAAGATAAAATAGACTATTTTAATCACAACAAACAAAACATCACATCTAACCCATAATCATTACACTCTTCTCTCATAAAAAAAATCAAAAAAGTTAAAAAGTCAAAAAGTTCTTCATAAACCAAACTTTTTAACCCAAATTAAAATAGTCAAAAAAGTCAAAAAACTAAAAAACCAATCCACTTCCCAAACGGAAGTTTTATTTTTGTATTTTGTGCCTCTAATGAGCTTTTTAAATATTTTAATTATTTTTTTTTACTTTCTTAATACACTTACAAAATAAAGTATTTATAAAAAAACTGACTAAATACAAAAAATTATATATTTTTATATTTTTTTCATGAATATAATTTTTATAACTGAAAACCAAATAAATTCATCCTCAAATGTGTACATTTCACTCATTGCACATAATTTTGCTAAAATTTAATTACCAACATATAATAGTTTTAAATCTACATTCTACATAGTAAAATTCTAAATATATTTTAATGCTACTTAAAAATTTTTAATTTCACCACATAGAAATCACAAATTATTTTTTAAAAATATATTAAATACTTTTTTTAGAATTTAAATTTATTTAAAATTTACTGATAAATTTTTTTATTTATATTTTTAAATTTTACAGCTATGAATAACGTGGCGGGCAACCTAGAATTGGCTGCCATTTATAATTCGGTTTTTGGGTACGTCTCTCTGGGTATCGCTCTGTTTTTTTTATTTCCTATTTTCGAGAAATTCATGTCCCACAATAGGCTGTAGCGCGTGTGTTGCACATTCCATCTAATAATGTTTGTTAATGTAGAGCGTGCCATACAGTCATTGAATAGCGCGTATGGTAAAACAGTTTCCTTAATAACAAATCCACCAAGTTGTCTACCTTCCTTTCTGGTAAAATGGTTTTGAGCACTCGACGTATAAATTTAAAATAAAATTTTACAGTAATTGATTAGAAGTTTACAATCTAAAATATTGTATTCATACTTATATGCATAAGTAAAAGAATTAAAAAAAAATTACATATTTCCTTCGTTTTAAAATATTAGTCTCTTATTTTATTTTTTATTATTTTAAATATTAATCTTTTTTTAAAAATTAATAATTAAAGTAATATAATTTTTTTTATTTTGACATTCTTTTAAATTCATTAACAATATAAAAAGTATAATTATAACAATTAATATTTTTAGAAAAATATACTATCAATAAGTAATTTTGGAAACTTATATTTTTAAAATGTAATAATTATATTACTAAAAAAAAGTTAAATTTCTCGAAATAGACTATTATTTTGAATCAATAGGAGGTGACAGACCACACAACCCCTCTTTCTCTTATCCTTTTTGTCTATGTTCTGTAGTTCTCTCGCTGTCTCACTTTCACCCTTACAATCTCGCACCAAACCCTTGATCTCTCTCTCTCTCTTCTCTCATCTCTCATCTCTCATCTCTCGTCTCCCTCAATCGACTCGTCCTCGCACCTGCTCATCCGTATCCGCACCTCTCTCGCGATTAACAAACCACCACCAAAGACGATCTCTTCTTTCTCTCTCTCTCTCTCTCTCTCTCTCTCTGATCTCTTCTTTCTCCGATCTCTTCTTTTTCATCTATTGTCTTAATTATACAGTAATGATTTTAATGCTGATATTAAGTTCTCTTCAATGGTTGAAATTGTTTGGCTTTGATGAAAAACCCTAGCATATTCTTCATTCTATTTCAAATTCACTTCTTAATATGTTTATGCTGAATATGACTATGTAGTGTATATATATAGATTCGTTATATATGTATGTTAGGAAAAATAGATGATTTCTTGCAAGTAAATCAATCAATGGAAATAAAAACTAATGCAGAAAAATTAAATCAGCAACGATACACGAATTTTTACATGGTTCTCTCAGTGTGAGATACGTTCAAGGGATCGAAATTCGATTCCACTATCAACCAA